ATTATGACCTGTTATAACCTTCTTTTCTTAGGATGTCAAGATCATTGGCTTCAGTTAATCTTTGGAAATTTATATTCTTAATTCTAGTATAATAATATATACACTATTGGGACTGGCAGATGGCATAATGGTTATGTCGCTGGACTCGTGCAGAGTTGACTGTGATTCGTGTCCTGAACCTGACAGTCTAAAACTCATGTTGGGTCCATATATATGCATGCCCAAAATACCTAGGGGAGAATGGAGAATGGATTACAGCGTGACCATCCCCACAGGGGGTGATTTCTCACTTTCTGTCTCTCTATATCTCTGTCTCTCTGCTGAGTACACACACCTTGTAGCAAAAATCTCTTTAAAAAATAATATATATATATATATATATATGTGTATGTGTATATACATATATACACACATACACATACATACACACACTAGCTTAACAGCTCTGCTCAATTACATATTTTTTGTGGATGGTTACTGAATTTTAGTAATATTTGTATGTTTTGTAGGATTTGTACAGTGTTTCATTATAGTAGATCCTCAACTGACATTGAATGATTAGTTTGTGAAGTCATGGAAATAATTGTCTTTATTTTAATCTTTTATTTTAATCTTATTTTTAAAATTTTATTGTAATTTTATTCATTGTCATTATTTTATTTATTTAAGTTTCTGCCATAGAGTGCAGATAATCAGTATATATTGAGTGGGGATATATAAAGTCTGTCTTTCATAGTCTGACTTGCTTCACTTAGCCTTAAATCTTACATATTTGTTCACTTTATGTCAAATGTCAGGAGTTCACTTTTTTATGGCTGATTAATATTCCATACAGTACATATGCCACACTTCTATGTTTATTCCTTGTCCTAGCAATAATAATGCTGCAATAAACACGGATGTGCAAGTGTTTTTCTGACTGAGGATTTTTCTATCCTTTGGGTAAATACCTAAAAGGAGTTACTGGATCAAATGGTAGTTCTATTTGTAGGTTTCTAAGGAATCTCCATATCGTTCTCCAAAGTGGTTGTACTAATTTACATTCCCACCAATAGTGTAGGAGAGTTCCCTTTTCACCACAGTCTTGCCAGCAGTTATCATTTTTTGTTTTTTAATCTTTGCCATTCTGACTGGGGTTAAATGGTATCTCACTCTGGTTTTGATTTGCATTTCCCTTATGATAAGAGATGTTGAGCATGTTTTCATATGCTTTTGGACCTTATTTGTCTATTTTTGGAAACGATTACCTATGCTTTGGAGGTCTTCTTTAAGAAGTCTTTGCCTACTACAAGGTCTCCCAAGAGTTTTTCCTGTGTTTTACACCAGTATTTTTATAGTTTGAGGTTTTATGTTTAGATCCTCAATCCATTTTGAGTTAATTTTTATTAGTGGTCAGATATAAGGATCTAGTTTCATTCTTCTGCAGGTGGATAGCCAGATCTCCCAGTGCCATTTGCTAAGAGATTTTCTTTTTCCCACTGAATTATCTTGTACACTTTGTCAAGAATCAGTTCACTGTATGTTTGGAGATTTATTTGGGGGTTCTCAGTTCTGTTCCATTGGTCTACCTGTCTGTTTTTGTGTGAATACTGTGCTGTTTTAATGGTTACAGCTTTTAGCATGTTTTGAGGTCAGGAAGTGAGATGCCTCCTACTTTTTCCCTTCCACAGTATTGGTTTGATGATATGGGGCTTTTTATGCTTTCGGACAAATTTCATGATTTTTTTTTCTATTTTTGTGAGGAATGCCTCTGGTAGTTTGTTTGGTATTACATTGAATTTGTAGATTAATTTGGGTAGGATTGTCTTCTTGATTATATTAATTCTTCCAATCCAGGACCATGGGATGGTTTTCCACTTTTTGTATCATTTTTTATTTCTTTTTCTAATGGTTCATAGTTTTCCTTATGGAGATCTTTGATGTCTTTGGTAAGGTTTATTTCTAGGTATCTTTTTGATTTTGTGGTTTTCGTAAATGGAGTTTCTTTCTTCAATTCTGTCTCAGTTTGTCCATTGTTGTATAAAAATTGTATAGATTTTTGTACGTTGATTTTGTATCCTGCCACTTTTCTATATTCATTTATCACTTCCAGGTTTTTCATTGATTCTTTTAGATTTTCTATGTATAGTATATCATTTGCAAATAAAGTTCATTTTAATTCTTCTATTTCTATTTGGATGGTTTTTATTTGACTCTCTTTTCTAATTGTATTGACTAGAAATTCCAGTACTATGTTAACAAGGAGTGGAGAAAGTAGGCAGCCTTGTCTTGTTGCAGTTTTTAGTGGAAAGGCTTTCAGCTTATCCCCATTCAGTATGATGTTAGCTCTGGATTATTATTTTTTTTTTTGAGAGGTTTTCGCTATAGGGCGCATGCGCTCGCCAGACAGACAGAGAGAGACAGAGAGACAGAAAGCAGGAAATCACCCCCCGGGGGGGTGGCCACACCCCAATCCCTTCTCCTCCATTCTCTTCTGGGATCTTGGGCACACCTGTGCAAGTTTAAGCCACCGGGTCCGGGACTCGAACCGTGGTCGACTATGTGGGAGTCCAGCGACATAACCATTACGCTAACTGCTGGTCCCAGCTCTGGATTTTTCATAGCTGAATTTTACTGTGTTATGGAATGTCCCCTCTGTGTTGACTTTGCTCAGATTGATGTGATCATATGGTTTTTAATCTTTCCTTTTGTTAATGTAATGTATTACATTTATTGTTTTGCATATGTTGAACCCTCTTTGCATCCCTGGAATAAATCTACTTGGTCATGTTGTATAATCTTTTTAGTATGTTGAATACAATTTGCTAGTATCTTGTGGAGAAATTTTGCATCCATATTCATCAGGGATATGGGCCTGAAGTTTTCTTTTTTTGTCATGTCCTTGTCTGGTTTTGGAACTAAGATGATGGATAATAGAGTGAATTCTGAAGGGTTTCATTTTGAATTTTAGAAATAAAAAGAAGAATTGTGGTTAGTTCTTTCAAAGTTTTGTAGAATTCAGAAATAAAGCCATCGAGACCTGGGCTCTTCCTAGTTGAAAGATTATTATTGATTCAATCACATGCTTTTTATGGGTCTATTTAGACCCCTTTTTTTTTCTTCTTGGTTCAGTCTGGGTAAGTTATACATGTCGAGAAATCTATCCATCTCATCTATATTTTCTTGTTTGTTGACATATAGTTGCTCATAGTACTCTATTATGATATTATATATTTCTGTTATAGCCATTATGATAATACATCTTTCCTTGCTGATTTGATTTATCTGGTTCCTTTCTATGTTCTTCTTGATTAATCTAGCTAGTGGTGTGTCAATTTTAATCTTCTCAAAGAGCCAGCTTTTGGTTTCATTTATTCATTATCATTGGTTTCTATGAACCTTTTGATTTCAGTCTTATTTTCTTCTGTAGTGGTAAAGTCACTTAGGAATAGGTTGTTTAACTTCCACGTATTTGTGAGTTTTCATGGGCTCTTTCTTTAATTGATTCCAAGTTTGATACAATTGTGGTCAGAAATGATTATAGGTATAGTTTTTATACCTTTTAGTTGGTAAAGGGTCATTTTGTGCCCTATCATGTGGTCGATCTTTGACTATATTCTATGTGGGGGTGAGAAAAATGTATATTTTTGTGGTAGGGGGATGAACTACTACTCTATAGATGTCTGTCAAGTCCATTTTATATATGGTATTATTTAGATTGTGTATGTCTTTATTTATTTTTTGTTTAGATAATCTGTTCAGAGGAGTCAGTGGGGGTGGTGAGATTATCTATAATTATTGTGTTGCAGTCTATCTCTTCCTTGAAATCTAACAGTCTGTCTTTGATATATATGGGTATTCAGTATTGGGTGCATAGGTATTTACAAGTGTTATATATTCTTGGTGAACAAGTCTTTTTATTTATTTATTTATTTATTTTTATTTTTATGGAGAGGGTTTTGCTATAGGGTACGTGCACTTGCCAGAAAGACAGAGATAGACAGAGAGACAGAAAACGAGAAAACACCCCCACCCTCAAGGGGAATAGCCATGCCACAATCCCTTCTCCTCTCAGGATCTTGGCCACACACGCAAAGATGCCTGGAGTTGTTTTAAGCAGCTGGGTTCAGGACTTGAACCGTAGTCAGCCACGCGGGAGTTCAATGATGTAACTATTACACTATGAACAAGTCTTTTTAGTATTATATAATGTCCTTTGTCTTTTTACATCTTTCATTTTAAAGTATATTTTGTCTGATATAGGTATCGCTACTCCAGCCTTTTCTTGGTTTACATTGGCATGGAATATCTTTTTCCAGCCCTTCTGTTTCAGTCTATATATATGTCCTGATCAGTGAGATATGTTTCTTGTAATAGCATATATATGGCTTATGTTTTTGTATCCATTCAGCCAGTCTGTGTCTTTTAATGGGAGATTTTAATCTATTAACATTTGATGTTATTATTGATATTTGCAGATTTATCCCTTTCATTTTGTTAGCCATTTTCTCAGTTGTTTTTTTATTCTCCTATTTCTGTTTGTCTCCTTTAGTTGTCCTGATACAGCACTCCCCTCAGTGCTTCCTGTAGAGCTGTTCTATTAATGGTGAATTCTTTCAGTTTTTGTTTATGTGAGAATACTTCTCTTTGTTCTTCCCATTTGAAGGACAATCTTGCTGGATATAGTACTGTTAGTTGAAATTGTTTTCCTTTTAATGTTTTGAACACATCTTCTCATTTCTTCCCTGCCTGCATTATTTCATTTGAGAGGTCTGACATCAGCCTAATGTGATCGCCTTTATATGTAACAACATTTTTCCCTTGCCATTTTTACAATATTGTCTTTGTTTCAATCTGGCTATGATGTACTGGGCTGTGAGGGTCCGATCTTTTGGTGTTGATTCCATTTGGGGTCCTTCTTATTCCTTATGTCTGAATTTCTCCATGTTTCTCTTTATTTGGAAAATTTTAGATAGTATTTCATGAAAGAGGTTTTCCAAGCCTTTAGCAGACTCTTCACCTTCTGGAATACCCATTATATGGATATTTGGGGTATTTCATGGTGTCTAGAATTTCCCATATGTTGTCCTCGTTTTGGGGGGGGAGGGTTGTTTTTTTCTTCTTTTTGGTGATTTGGTCTATATTGGAGACTTCGTCCTCGAGGCCAGAAATTCTTTCTTCTTCATGGTCCAATCTTCTGGTAATGATTTCTTCCTTAATTTCTTTTTTTAAGAGTTATTTTTATTTAACTCTATTTATTTATATATTTATTTTTTCATTTGACCTGAGAGGGACAGAGTGAGAGAGGGAAAATTAGAAAGCAAGCTGCCATATCCGAGACTTGAACTGAGACCTGCCATGTGAGAGTCTAGTGCTCTTAACCACCACATCACCTGCTAGCCCCACTGTTAATGCTTTCTAGGGAGATTTTGATTTCTTATATTGTGTTCTTCTTTTCCAGAAGTTCGGTTTGATTCTTTTTAAGGGTGTCTATTCATTTATCAAAGTCATCTTTCATGTCCTGAAATGATTTTCTTATTTCCTGAAACTGATTACTTGTTTTCTCTTGCATCTCATGGAATATTCTCACTATGAATATTCAGAATCCTTTTTCTGACATGTCTATCTAAATCTCAATGCTGTCCATTTTTGGTGAGGAGCTACTACCCTCACCTGGTGAACACTACCTTGTTTTCTCATGTTTCTTTAAGATCTGTGCTGGTTTATAGTTACCTGATGCAGTATTCACTTTTTTTATTTATTGGGGTAAATTTCACCCTTAGTTCTGAGGTGTATTCTTATAGGAGGGCTGTCTCACTGCTCTGATTAGTTATGGGTAACTTCAGGTGCTTGGCTCCTCTATAAAACCTTAAGTTCTTTATGAGGTGGTAGCAAGCTAAGTAGATATAACTTGAACAGTTGCACACTGCACTTTGCAGGTTTGCATACCAAAAGTTACAGTGACTCCCAGGCCCTGAGCACAGACTCACCCTAATGGCATACCCAGACCAGCCTCAAGAATCTCAGTGGGTGGGGTAAGCCCAGGCTGCTGAGATGGTAGGCTATGGTGTCCAAAAGTTCCAAAGTGGCTCCCAGGCCCCGAGCAAGGAATCACCCTAAATGCCTGCCTTGACTGTCCTCAGGATTTCTGGTGGATGGGCAGATGGACAGGGCAAGCCTAGGCTGCTGGGATGGTGGGTGTTGGAGTCCAAAAGTTCCAAAGTGGCTCCCAGGTCCCAAGTACAGAATTACCCTTTTACATGAACTCTTGTGATCTAAAAGTTTTAATTTTTCTTGAAACTTCTCCATTTAGTAACCTTTGATTTGTATTATTTATATACAATGTTTATGTTACAGGTTAAAATATTGATATTTAGAATGTCAATTATAATTTGAAATACAGTACTTAGAAAAAATTGCTATAGGGTGTATGAGTTCACTAGAGAGAGGGGTGGGAGAAGGGAATAAGAAAGCACTCCAGAGGGATGATGGCCAGGCCACCATCCATTTGCTTCCAAATGGGATTTTGAGCACACATACATACCTGGTGTATTTTTCCAAGCCACTGGCTCCACATAATCATCCATGTGAAATTCAGCTGCCTTAACCACTACACCACTGG